GCTGGGCATTGTGGCAGGCACCTGTAGTCCCAGCTACTCAGGAGGCTGAGGCAAAAGAATCGCCTAAGCCCAAGAGCCAGAGGTTGCTGTGAGCTGTGATGCCACAGCACTCTACGGAGGGTGATAAAGACTCTGTCTCTATAATAAAAATAAAAATAAATAAACAAATAAATAAATCTTCAATTCTTGAAAATATAAATATTAGTTTCTTACAAGGTCCAATAACTTAATCTAGCACCAGACTTGTCCAAATAATCATACAATGTCACTTTGCACTTTTAAAATGCTTAAGAAAAGAAAATGCATACCAGGATATCCAGTCAATCTTTCCTTGAAATATCAATGCTATTGGGAAATATATTTATTTATTTATTTTTAATTTTGGGGGGGAAGGGATATATTTAAACATACAAGATCCAAGGATTGACGTACACATAGTCCCCCTTTTCATGCTGATGAAAAGGTAATATTTACTCAAACAAAAGATGAATGGACAAATGGAGGCAAAAATGATAAGTGGTGAACATTTAATATAATTAATTGCATATCTAAGAAAAATGAAAATGGAAATAAGGATATAAATATAATATATGAATATTATGTAATTTGATAAAGTAAAAATGATACAACTAGAAAAGCTAAATGGAACCACTGTTTCTGGCTATATTAAATGAAGTATGACCAGCTTTACCATGCCATCGGGAGCTATTAGAAAATTATACAAAAAATAGAAAATAATAGTTTTAAGATACCGAGCAAGCCATGCAGAACTGACCTTGTAGGAAAATAATTAAGTGAACCCTATGATCATGTGTTAGACTCTAGTACACGGAGGAAGGTCCCAAGAGATCATTATGTTCTCACTAGATTGAGAAAAGTTAGTTCAGGGGCTGTGACACCTACAATTTACAGGGCAGAGTTGTGGAGTTAAAAGCCTAGGGAAAAAAAATCTCTGGAAATCACCAGAAAGCTTCCATTTACGGCTACTGTTGAATATTAAGCCACATACACAGAATGGTGAAACTTCATGCGTCTAGGAAAAGAGAAATTAATGGAGAGTAAATTAATGAGAGTAAATTATTTCCAAAACTTACAAAGATTTGGGAGACATTTGACTTTCAAACAAACAGAGTGGAAAATCTTTACTGAATATCCAGAGCATTTATTAAATACCCAAAACTTGTCAGATTAACAGTAGAGCTAAATTAGCTCTGTAACTAATAAAATGTTTCAACTGCAGTCCTACTGACACATTGGGCTGGATAATTCTTTACTGTGAGGGTCTGTCCTGTACATTGTAGAATTTGTATGAACATCTCTGGTTTCCATCCCAAAAATAACAGTATCAGCACCCCATAACAACCCAAACTGCATCACCCTTAGTTCTAGAATTAATTACACCCACTGTCTTAGCATAAATGCAACCCTAGCTCTACCTTCCTAAAGCTAGAAATACTAAGGTAATATTACCTTTAAAAAGGTAATATGAAAGTCACTACCTAACAGATCATATCCAACCCAAATTGAGTACAATTCAGTACTCAAATATAGAAATGTTAAAATGATTAGCATCCAACCCAAATTTGCAAAATGTGTGAAGAAGCAGGATAATCAGGGTGGCACCTGTGGCTCAGTGAGTAGGGCACTGGCCTCATATATTGAGGGTGGCAGGTTCGAACCCATCCCCGGCCAAACTACAACAAAAAATAGCCAGGCATTGTGGCAGACGCCTGTAGTCCCACCTACTCAGGAGGCTGAGGCAAGAGAATTGCCTAAGCCCAAGAGCTGTGGGTTGGTGTGAGCTGTGACACCACAGCACTCTACCGAGGGCAACAAAAAAAGAAGAAAGAAGAAAGAAGGAAGGAGGAGGAAGAGAAGGAGGAGGAGGAGAAGCAGGAGGAGAAGAAGAAGAAAGAAGGAGAAGAAGAAGAAAGAAGGAGGAGGAGAAGGCGAAGAAGAAGAGGAAGAAGAGGAAAAAGAAGAAGAAGGAAGGAAGGAAGAAGAAGGAAGAAGAAGAAAGAAGAAGAAGGAAGAAGAAGAAGAGGAAGAAGAAGAAGGAAGAAGAAGAAGGAGGAGGAGGAAGAGGAAAAAGAAAGAAGAAGAAGAAGAAAGAAGAAGCAGAAGAAGAAGAAGAAGAAGAAGAAGAAGAAAGAAGAAGAAGTAGAATCTGTCCCATAACCAAAATAAATAAATGAAAGCCATGCAATAGAAACAAATTTGGAAATGAGATATTAGTGGACAAGCCATTATAAAATATCCAGAATTTACAAAAAAAAAAAGAGAAAAAGAAAAAAACCTAAAACCTAGTTAGGAGAAAAGTTCTTTAAGAAATAATCTAAAAAATAAATACATAATATGTGAAACAAAACTTTTACTAGACAGGAATAATACACAGTGCCAAGAGACAATAGAAGCAGGACCTTGTACATATAGAATTGTGCCTCAAGCCTTGATGCCATAAGTTGAAGTTTGGAAAGAATTAAACTAGGATCAGACTGACATGTAGAGTTCATCCAAGTGGAGGTGGGCAGAAGTTACAGGGTATGGTACATGTTTGTCCTCATCAAGCCACACCTAAAGAAGCACCCAGTTGATTCAAATTAGGGGAAGGGGAGGGCCACCAGCTTTAGCTACAGAAAGTACAGTAGGAGGGCAGTAAGACTTCAGGGACTAGATCACTTATGTCCAAACCTGGATTCACGCCAAGGAAGTGAATTGCAGGGTGCTCTCCATGTTGGAGGTCTGGGATCACATTATGGCTTTAAAACCAACAGGAATGAGAAAATTTACAAAGGAAGTTAAGGATAAAACTAGCTGTCACAATAGCTGGTGATATGGACCTTGGATACCCTGTGCTTGGTAATGGTGGTGTTATAATTCTTGCGCAGCAGAGAGAAAGTAGGACCCCACTACTGAATAAATAAATAAATACTAAATAAATCAATATAAATTTATTATAATTTGATACACCTGAAGGGGGCTGATTTTGTGACCAACATGCAGCCCCAAATGGTAAATCAGAAAGGTTTATATACTGTAAATATTGCTGAAGCAAGTAAGCTTGTACAAGAGCTAAATCATTGCGGTTAGCACAGCTCACCACAGCTTAGGGATCACAAGGTAAGGGGTACATCATAAGGAGTTACACAACTCAAAATGGGGGTACATGCTGACTTAGCTTATATAAGCAAATCACATTGGGGGTTACAAAGTTCACAACAGGGTACATATTACCTCATGGGTCATAAGGTACATTAACTCATGGATCACAAGATGGGGGTCACATAGTTCAACATAAGTTGAGAAAGTTTCCAAAGAACTTGAGACTTTCTACTAAGGGCTTTTTCTGGCATCAACCCCTCCCTTCCTCTTTCTTATCTTTAAGCTTCTCCACCCTTGAAGGGGCTGAGACCGAGAGACTCAGGAGAAGTCTCAAGGGTAGGGGCTTGTTCCCCACTGGTCTTAGTGGAGAATCAAGAGATCTGGGTCATCACAGTAGAAGAATCTGCACAAAAAGAAAGGGGGCAAAAAGATTGTAAATAGGTTTACTAAGGAGTTTCAACTCACTGGAGCATAAAATGAAATACTTTTCCCTGTCACTAATTTCAGTCCTTTTACTGACTCTGAAAAACACTGTAGGCAAACAAAACTTTCTAGTTATTTTCAGCCCTGAGGTACTCACCTCCCAGCCCCTTTTCAGACTTGTTCCTCTGCCAATCTATCCTTAGAGAAGGAAAGTTCAGCAAACCTCATTCCTCCAGCCATAAGTCAGTTTTGTCTTTCATTGCAGGAACCTAAAACCTCCAGAGGCTCTTTTGTGGTATCTCCACACTGGATTTGGATTAAGTGCTCCCCAGTCATCCAGAGGAACCACAGTTGATGTTTTCTTTATATACATAAGAGAGAGAATGGGCAAGGAGAAGTGGTGATGGATAGTAACAGGAAGACTTACGGCAGAGATACCTGACCCTAATAGTTGGTGCTCATGAAAATAAGAGGTGCTAGTTAGCATCCTTTATCTCTAGTTTGGAATCTTTACTACAATTACTAAATTGGAAATCAATAGGAAAAGTCGACCTCAATATTCTCTACAAAGAGAGCTACAACAATTTCTGCACTATGCTAGAGATTTTGTACAACTTATTAAATCTTTACAATAACACTGGCAACAAGTTTATTTATTCCTTCTTTGAAAATAAAGAAACTACAATTTAAAAAGATAAATAAACCTGCCTAACACTATTTAGGCAGTTTGTGATAGACCTGAATTTATATTCCTGCCATCTCTTTTCAGAGCTTTTCTGCAATATTTTTCAATGTTGCTACAAATACACTAAAAACATTCACTTTTGATATCACCAGCAATAATAGCTAAAGGAATTCATTGTCTTTGTGAGAATCTCAGTTCAGTCTAGACTGTTTCCAGTGATTCTAGCTGAGCAGAGCTCGTGAAGGCGAAAAGTAAAAATTTCTCTCTGTAATTTTGTTTTCTCCAAATGCAGTCTTTGATGATTGCATTGATGTCATTTCTATTCTTTCCTTTCTTTTATTTTATTATTATTTATTTGTTGAAACAGAGTCTCACTTTGTTACCCTGGGTAAAGTGCTATGGCATCTTCATAGCTCACAGCAACCTCAGACTCTAGGGTTCAAGTGATCCTCTTGCCTCAGCCTCCCAAGTAGCTAAGACTACAGGTACCCACACAATGCCCAGCTTTTTTTTTCTATTTTTAGTAGAGATGGGGTCTTGCTCTTGCTCAGGCTGGTCTTGAACTCCTGAGCTCAAGCAATCTACCTGCCTCAGCCTCCAAAGTACTAGGATTACAGGCATGAGCAACCATGCTGGCCTCACTTTTAAAAAAAATTTTTAAATTTATTTTAAATGACAAGTAAAATTTATATGTATTTTTGGTATACAACATGATGTTTTTATAATATATATACATTGTGGAATGGCTAAATTAAGCTAATGAACAAAAGACCTACATTTTCCTGGGGTCTTAGTGTTTAACAGCTTTTCTCCTCAGCAAGTATTTCATAGCCGCTTTTACATCTTTATTTCTTAAGCTGTAGATTATAGGATTTAACATTGGGGTTACTACACCATAAAACATGGATACAAGACCTTCTGTAGCTTGCAAATGGTCTTTACCAATCAGGTCTTTGGACTTGGGTTTTGCATACATAAAAAAGATGGTACCATAAAATATGATCACCACAGTCAGGTGAGCTGAGCAGGTAGAAAAGGCCTTGCGTCTCCCTGCAGCTGAGTTTATTCTCAAGATGGTATAAAGGATGAACATATAGGAGAAAAAAATGACCAGTAATGGAAGAATTAGGAAAGCAATGTTTGACACAGCTAGGGTAACAATGTTGAGGGATATATCAGCACAAGCTAGCTTGAGGACAGCTAAGATCTCACATAAAAAATGATTGATAATGTTATTTCCACAGAAAGGCAATCTCATGGCAAGTGATGTTTGCACAATTGAATTGATTCCACCAGACAACCATGACACAGAAGCCATCAGGACATATACCACCTTGCTCATGATCATGGGGTATCTCAGAGGGTTGCAGATGGCCACATAGCGGTCAAATGCCATCATGCCAAGAAGGAAACATTCCGTTGACCCCATTGCAAACCCAAAGAACATCTGCACTGCACATCCAGAGAAGGAAATGTTTCTTTTCTTTGAGATCAAGCTCACCAGTGTTGAGGGTACAGAGGAGGATGTGTAACAGATATCCAGGAAAGAAAGGTTGCCCAGGAAGAAGTACATGGGAGTGTGAAGACGAGAATCAAAGATGCTTGCTATAATCAGAACACCGTTGCCAATTAGAATCACTAGGTACATGACTAGAATCAGAGCAAAGAAAATGATCTCGAGTTTTGGATAACCAGAAAGTCCCAGAAGAATGAATTCTCTCACAAATGTCTGGTTTATCTTGTTCATGTCCAAGACTTCAGGATATTAAAGAGAAATCCAATATAAAATATTTTAACAGCCAAGCGACAAATGTAACAAATGTCTGTATGGTGAAGAGGCAAGTGTTTGTTTGATAACTCTGTTACTAAGTTATCTTCAGCAGTGTTTGTGCCTATATTACAACCATCCCAGTATGTTGACAGTTTCTATGCCCTGCATCTAACCAAAGGCCAGAAGCAAATTCAAAAGTGATCTTCCTTATTGTTGAATTTACCCTATGTTGAATCTTCTAAAAGAAGATTAAACATTGGGCTATAAAAATTGCCCTAAAATATTGGAGACAATAAACCTGACATCATTCAGACAAGCTCAGTGAGAGAGCAGTGGGAAAGGCAAAAGATAACAAAGACTGGAATTTTGATCTGCTTTGTAACAGAAATGTTCAGAATTTTAAAGTAAGTTTAATTTTTATGAATATTTGTTTGTTTACCTAGAACTCTGGATCTCTTTCTAGGCAGCTGTGTATTTTTATAGGGCAGACATTTAATCATAGTCAATTAAGCCATATACACTGCAGTTTGACATCTGTTCACAGGTAAAGGTTTTGTTGATCTCACAGTAACAGCCCACTCTTACTGTGTGGCTGTGTCCTCTGACAAGACATTATGCAGGCTATCTCTGCATATAAATGATGAAGGCTCTTTGAAGACCAAGACATTGTCTCTTCATTTGTTTTATTTGTGGCTTCAGAATTATTCTTGATAATTTGTTTGTTTAAGTGAACCTGAAAAAAGAATAATAATAGTTAAACATATTTGTGTATATGTGTGTGGTGCTTAATACCATACCTAAAACAAATGAATCTTTTCATTATTCCTAATTTTTTAAAATATGAAAGATATTTCAAAGACTTTAGCTCTATGAAGACAGGGGCTAATTGATCCAGTCTGTATGTAAAAAGTAGAAATTGAAGCTTATCTCTTTGGCAATGAAGTCTAGAGCTTTTTGAACTACACCACCAAAAGCTACGCATTGTTTTCCTAATAAGTATTTTTAGCCTTGTTTTTCATATTCATAAAAATTACCTAATCATCTTTTTGAAATGTAAATTCTATTTCAATAGGTTTTACGATGGGCTTGTGATCTTTTATTTCTGTTAAGTTCCTAGGGTATACTAAAGCCATTAGGATGAGGCCACATGTTGAGTAGCAAGAAATTGATTCATTTATAGTGACCTGGTAGATTATCCAGATATTTCTGATTCAAATAGATTTTCTTTTGTGTGATTATATGAATTGGTTTAACAACTTGGAAAACAACCAAGAATACAATTATTCTGTGTTTGCCACCAAAATTCAGGGCAACATCTTGCATTCAGTATATTTCAGAAAATAAATACTTTTGAAACATAAATTTTATAAAAGTAGGATAAACTTTTGGTAAATTACTATAATATGTGTAAATATTACTGATAGATTAACTTGAGCACAGTCCTGTCCCAAGCTAAATAAGAATGGAAAAAATATGTCTGCCATGAGAAAGTCCACAACTCAGTAAGGGAAATAGAAAACTACATATGAATTTGTAGTCAAGAATTTGACATCAAATATATCATGTGGCCAGGGTGAATAATAAGTATTCCCAGAAAGAGGAGGTAAAAATAAATAAATAAACAAACAATTCAGTTCTGACAGCTTCTTGACTTGGGTATGGAGGCACAAAGCATGACATCATAAAGGCGAACTTGACAGATCTGGATGCACAGAAAGCATGAGACAGGCTGGCAGAGAAGAGGGAAGTGTGGTAGTCCAGAAGGGGCAGCAGGTTCAGCAATGTCTTCCTTAGCAGACTGACAGTACTTAATTTTCAGACAAGGGAGTTTCAGTGGAAACACACGTGAAAAAGTATTTAGGAAGGAACACATAAAGGCCCAATGTTCAAACAAAAAATGGACATTTCTTTTTGTAGGGAAAGGGCCTATTATTAGATAATACCAAGCATACAGTGAGTGTTCCAGGGGTGTCCCATCTTTCATCTTCTCAACCATACATTGGAAGAAGAGTTGTCTTGGGCCACACATTAAATACAGAAACACTAAGGAAAACTGATGAGAAGAAAAAAGGGTCTGTGCATAATTTTCATAATATCTGACTCCATAGATGAGCAAAAAAGTCCTCACATAATAGGTATGTGGCTTGCAAGCCACAAGTTGGACACCCTGAGACACTTCTGTGACTTTAAGTGCCCTCCAAACTTTACAGCGTGCAATATGATGTTACAAGATTTTAAGCAAATATGTGACAAAAAGCAATTCAGTGTTTAAATTCACTAGGTTATCTGGGTGTGCCTGGTGTATACACACATACCCATGTAAAATCATCTATCCATATTTTCCAACAGTTTCAGGTTAATCAAAATTGCATGTCTAGGGCTCACATGGACTTAATAGTTTTGAGAATATGAGGAAAGACCTAACCCCGTACTCTTACACTGCTTGATGATAGGCAGGAAAATTTCTGTACAGGGTATAATGTCTTGAAGTCTGGAGCCCAGCTAGACAGTGGGATTCTTATTTCAGAAAACAATTTAGTTAACGACTATCAGGTGGAAAATTCCAACTTTGAAAAGGGTCACAAATGAGAGAATGCTGAATAGTTAAACGAGAGATGAGAAAATTGAGTCTTAAAAGAATTTTTAATTTCTATTTACTCAGCTTAAAGCCAGAAGTACATTTTAAAAAACCTTTTGTTTATTTAAATTTTAGAAAATAACTTAACTTTTAGGGCAAACTTTTATGCACCAGATACCATGCTTAAAATTAATTCAGTTGGCTGAGGTCACCTGGATAACACCAGGCAGAGACAAAACCCAATGCCATTCTCCTCCCACTACTTCTATGCCCAACAGGTAGAAGTAAAATATGTATGGAAATCATGGGTCAGCCACAGAGAATGGTCAGTGAGCACCACAGACAAATTGAGATCATAAAGGAAAATTTGACTGTACCCAGTTAAGAATTCACAAGGAGAATAGTTAGACTTGAGCACATAGTACTTCTTATCGTGGAGGAAGGCTCATGGCTGTAGGATGGAATCATATGCCCCAGAATACTGCCTTCATTGTGAAATGATTCTATACTCCCCCTACAATCTATATAGCATAATAAATCAAAATTCTCCACAAGTGGTATACAGAAATTAGAAAAGAGATGGGAGCTCTCTGAGCTGCCCAGTCATGAAGGCAAAAGGAAGAAGACAGCAACACTTCCCAGGACTAGGAAATGTGGTGATGTTCCACATCCAGCCTCGTCCAGTCCAGGCCTGGTGAGCCTGCTGGTTTCTCCTTCCAGACTGCACGTGTCAAGCTACCTCGACTGCCTCTCCTGCCACATGCTCCAAACCTCCCCTGCCTAAGGAGAAATTCCCTCACCAATTCCCTGAAGCCAAGCCTGTTTTGAGCCTTTGGTTTTCTTGTGTTCTCATCTCTTCGAATTACGTTTCTTGTCTATACAACAAGAGACGTGAGGAGGGAGTTTGCCCGTGTTGTTCATCCCTCCGCAGCTAAATCTAACACAGTGGTTGCACAAAACTGATGGGTTTTGACTAAATGGTGAAGGTTTACTTTCTAGGCTCTTAAGAAATGTCCATGTTCAGGACTTTAATATCCACAAATTGTTCACTTGCAACAAAGTCTCATTTAAAAAAGAGAAACATCTTTCTGTCAGTATAACAGTGTGCCATCTTCTACAGAGATTAACCAGTTTGTGGACTACCAAGTAACCTAATCCTCACCTGAATGAATTGGCAGGCAGTTAAACATATGAAAAAGTGTATGTGATTTAGAAACATTAAGTTCTACTTTTGAGGTTATTTTTTTCTTCTAATATGTAGCCTCAGTTTTGTTTTGTTTTGTTTTTTGTACAATAATAGAATTACATACCTTACCTTCTCACAGATTGGTTTTGAGAAAAAAATCTGATAGTATATGAAAATTATTTTATGGATCAACTAGCACTGTACAGGTAATAATGATAACATTATTATCATAATTGTATCTGGTAATAATAATAAATTGGGAGCTGAATTGCCTAATGTTGTTCACATTATAAATCTATTTTTAATGATAGCTTTAATTGTGAATTAAACAGACCTGGCTTCATGGTATTCAAGACTCACCTTTATAGGGATAAATGATTTCTATTTCCTAAAGGAGTCAGTTACTATCTTCTTAGCATTTATGTATGTCAGCATTCTGAATTGAGGTCAGATTCAACAAAAGATGCCAGATTCCATAGATGTAGAAGAGTAAAGATTTGTTATTCAACACTTATTGTAATTGTTCCCCAATTCCCAAAGTAATTTAAAGTTGGAGTGAGAGATCTGTGGGATAGAGAAACTTCTGGTGCTTCAGGGACAGGGTCCCATAGACCCAATTAAGATTGGAATATATTGTGACTAAACTAAAACTCAGAAATGCAATAACATTCTCCTGCCTGTGTAACTTTCAGAAACAGGGGCAAATGTTCTCCAAACAAATATTATGAAATGTGAGAGGTTTTGGTTTAAAATATATTTACCAAAGAAAAGTAAATTCAAAGGGCTTAATTCAAACAACTACTAAGATAAAATGCTAGAGTTGAGAAAATTATCTAGATATTATGAATGAAATAAAAAATATTTGCTATGATTTGAATGCATTGATTTTTTTTACTTTATTATTTTTGATAAATTAATTTTATTCAGGATGACATTGCCAACCACTTTTGGAATGAAAAGAAATACAGGTAAACAATAAAATAAGTAAATCGGCAGAAAGATATGAACCCATATTTTTAAGGTCACAAAGGTAAAAATTAAGGAAAAAGTCCAGAATGGATAGTTTGGAGAATGAATAGGTAGACAGTCCATTATTGTTTGAAGCAAGTCTATTAAGCTATATTGCAGATATTAACCTTAGGTTTTCACTGTCATTTTCTAATAGATGTCATATTTCACTGTTACATACATGGATTCTGAGAAAAACTACTTAAAATGTAATGGCAATATTTATGTATGCACATAGACGCAAACAACACAAACCATAGTGTGTATGTGTT